ATCCACTCTCGCATTTGCAGAGCATCGTGCACCTGACACCGGCGCGATTGCACTTGCACCTTCTTGTGCATGACTTGAGGCAGCTGCAGTGCAGCAGAAGGGTGCATGCTTCTGAAGCGTCACGGAGTGTAGTCCATAGCGGCTGCCAGGCACCCGTACCATCTTTTTGCCAGCCCCACTCACTGAAGTCGGGAATTCGTTGCTGCACTGTGGTAGACAGATTCCAGTAGAAGCTGGCCTGAAGTAGCGCTCGTTTGACATGCTGGAACAGTGCTGCTTGTGTAGGTTGGAGGTTCTCCAACATTCTGCTTCCAGTGGTGAATAGGCGATGCCGGGCCTCGTTGACACCATCTGCACCACATCCCTTGCTGTACATGAGAACGACTAGGCATTCGATCCGCTGCATATGTATCGACTCGAGAGTGAAGACATCAGGGTTTCGCGTGAGGGTCGCCAATGTGCAATATAAAGAAATATCATTGTTTACTAACGCATAACAGTCGCCGCATCTCGCGTCCCGTCCTGCCTTCTGCTTCACCGTCAGTTTCAAATTCCTCTCAATGCTCTTCCCATTCCTTATATAACACTCTCTTATCCGCAATCACTAGTCCAGCTCTACTCTAGCCCTAGCCAACTTCACACATCACTAAACACACATCTGCTATTCAAAGAGAGGGCGCCGGAACAACATCTGACCCGCAGATTGTGTATACGCATCCCAGTTCCCTACCTAGCTATTTCTACACTGTCATGGCTTAAACACTCCAATCCCTTCTCCTATGTACAACTAATTCTATCTACTATTACTAATTCAATGAACGGTGTAAAACACACTTAGCATTGATGATCTCGTTGTTTGTACAATGGCATTGTTTGTTGTCACGCGTTGTTTGTTAGCAATGATGTCAAAGCATTACAATGCCGTTGTCTTGTGACTCGTTGTTGTTACAACTGCATTGTTCGTTGTGAGTCGTTTTGTTACATGCCGTCGTACATTACAATGCCAATTGCTTCTTGTGACGTCGTTGTTTTGTTAAACAATGGCATTGTTCGTGCGCTGCCGATGTTGGTTTACAATGCACGTAACATTAGCGAATGCATGTTCGTTGTGACGTTGTGTTTTTACAATCCATTGTCTCGTTGGCGATGCATTGTTGTTACAATGGGCTGTCGTACATTACAATGCCCATTGTTCGTTGTGACATGCATTGTTTTCTACAATCAATTGTTCGTTGTGACGTTGTCTGTTTTGTACAAGCCGTCTACATTAGCAATGCCAATTGTCGTTGTGACATTGTTTTTTTGTTAGCATGTCATTGTTCGTTGTTGACTCGTTGTTTTTAACAATGCCGTCAAACATTACAATGCGTTTTCGTTGTGACGTCGTGTTTGTACAATCATTGTTCGTTAGTGACGTCGTTGTTTGTTAAGCCGTCGTACATTTACGAATGCCATGTCGTGTGACGTTGTTGTTTGTTACAATCCAATGTTCGTTGGCGATGCCGCTGTTTGTTACAATGCCGTCGTAACCATACAAGCGTTGTTCCGTTGTGACGTTGTTGTTTGTTAACAATGCCAGTTGTTCGTTGCATGGCCGTTTTTGTTTACAATGCTTCGAACATACAAATGACATTGTTCGTTGTGACGT